CAGAGACAGCCTGGGTCACACCCACATCATACATCATTTTCGTCATACAGATGAATTTTTCAATGATATGAATATTAGTAAGTTACATAAACAGAAGATGACTTATCTGTCTACCCAGGAAAAATACAGATTTCTTTGATATATCTATGATGCACAGCAAAATAGAATTTTTTTTTTTTAAAATACCTGTGTTTCACACTTGTTGAGATTAACACTTCTCCGTTTTTCAACATTTTCAGCAGCTTGACTATTAAGTCTTTTTCTTCCCCCTTTCGATTTCTGTAGTGAGTTTTGCTGCACTCCCTATAATTTAAAAGAAAAGAGCAAGGGAGGGGTAATAAAATCTACAGTTCTCTGTACAGCTTTGTTCAGAAGAATTACTAGCAGCTAGAACAGGCCAGGTATCCACATCAGGAGGACAAAATACTCGTGAGTAGTCAGAACACTGCCACAAGGATGGTTCAGCGCCTAGAAAACTTTCTTTACAATAGCCAACTAAATGAAATCAATCTATACAGCTTGTCAAAAGGGGCTGAAAGCAGAATACGTGCAGAAAGATATAGAGGCAAAAGAATACATAGAAACTGGACAAGGGAAAGGGCTTAATCTCGCAGCCAAAGTTATAACAGAAGAAGGTGGTCGCACAAAAATTCCATTTTCAAAGGTTTTTTTTGTTTTAAAATGGAGAGGGGATAGTCTTGCTACCACTTGCAGTCCTGAAAACCAGAAAGAGGTCTAAACTAAAAAAAATGCTGTCATCCAACTTCCCAGGGGAAAGAAAAACCCCCAAAACAAACAAACAAATACAAACCAAACAAACAGAAAGCCAGAATGTTATACATGAGTGAAGGGCGTGCATGGTGGGAACAGGGGGAATCAGAGAAGGTATTGATGCCACACCAAGGATTAAACAGTAAACCACTATTATACATTTTTGTAGTGGTATTCTTTTGAACTTATTCTTTTGTACTTACTCATGTCAGGAAGAGGGAGAATTACAAGACACTGCACTACACTGATATGAGATATGATTTTATCAAAGATTTACAAAACAAATACTGTAGTTTCAAAGAGGAAATGTGCAGTAAACTTCAAAAATCATTTCAATAATAGGTTTTGGATAATTCACAAAATAAATGGACCACACTAGGATATGACCTCAGCATCAACTAAACAAAAAAAAATGAAAATCTACATTCTTTAATACATTCACATTTCAAAACTGGAGCTTTAGCCTTTCAGAAGTACTACGTAGATGTGGAAACATCATGCAGAGTGGGGAATACTACCACCTGTTGAATGACTGCAACAGTAAGGGGCAAAGATTCTCATCTTCATAAATCCAACTCACAACATCTCATATTAAAGTTCACATGTTTCTATCTATGGCCAGAAGCTCACAGGTCAAGGAACACCAACATCACATGTGGCAGTGCCTGAATCTTAGCTAAATACTCAAGTCCCTGCTTTGGACACCTGAAGGCACTGTCTGCATGTGGCCTAAAAAGGTTTCTGTCATGGCATCAGCTGAAGAAACAAGGAAAGGTCAGTTGTGCACAACAGGTAAAACCAAGAGCTTTCTGTCAAAACTAGGCTTGAGGACTGTAAAGGGCTAAGTAAAATCTCTTTCAAGCAGTGGGAATTTAATCTGCTGTATAAGGGCTAATTTTACAACACCTCTGTTAAAATGCAAGAGAGTGTTGTGAGATATCTAAATAAAAATATTCTAAAGGAGAAAGAGTTACAAACACTAACACATTCCTGCCTCCTTGCAGTTTTACATGTAATTTTAATCCCTCTTCCATTCTCCCCAGGAAAAAAAGGATTTTATTTTTTTCCTCTCTTTTCCCTACCTGTTCAGACTCTTCTTCATCGTCAGCATCAATCTGTTCTGTAGCAGAAGTCTGGAGATTTTCATCCTGATCGCTGCTGTAGGCAGGCTCAATGGACTCCTGAAATTGGCTCTCCAGCCCAGTGGATTCCAAGGAAACCTTTTTCCCAGACTTCAGCAGGGCTTCACTTGATCCTAGTTTGGTGGCTTGAGATAATAGGGCTCCTTCAATACTGATCCGCTTAAAAAAAAAAAAAAACACCACAAAAATTTGTTTAGAAGTTTATAGAGATTTTATATTTTAGTAAGACGCTGTTTTACATCAGCCTTAAAGGCAATATTTAAGCAACGTTCAGTTTAGCTGCACAGAAATTAGATTTATAAAGAAACAAGTATAACAATCAGCATTTTTCCATAAAATATTTAGAACTGAAAAAATACATGCAAGAATCCCCACCCCAGTCATGGGCTTCAGTGTTATGGCATCCCAGAGAAGTCATATCTAATGTACTCTCTTCCACACACTCCACTTTAAGTTGCATCCCAAATAAAAGCCTAGGACCTGAAATTCAATACAAGGCTTTCAAACTGCACTGGGCACTTCATTATAAATTCTTACAGAAAATGTAAAAATTAGAAATATTCATTTCCATCTGCTTAAGCTGTATTGGCTTTGTTTGGTCATATATCATGATTTAAATATATATATATATATATATCAGAATAAGCTGAAACTTTCAACTCTTATTTAATAAATGCAAAAACATGCTCCAAATAACAAACACTATCTTTATACAAATAAATTCTGTGATTATAGTGGTGTTTTTAAGTACCCTACAGTATTTTAAAGTACAAACAATATACAGATTGTCTTTTTTTTTTTCTCTATTAGATATTTCTGAAATAGTTAAGCTGTATTTCTATTGCTTTCATTCCCATAGTCTTACTGGGGACACTAAACAACATCTATGGTTTTGTTTCTGTTCTTAAAATCAACACAACCAAGAAAAGGCAGATTCGACAGTAAATACTGTGCTTGAAGTCATTTGAATGTGCTAAGCCAATAAATACAAGAAACAGCTTACCTTCTGCACATCTGGACTTATATCTGAAAACAAAAATATATACTTCATCATTAATGAATAATCAAACTGGTGCCAGTCTATGCCCGTTTTACTGCTACACTAAGATCCCAATTACAAATTCTCCAAAGGGGATTAAATGTAGCAGCAATTGAGCAAACAGACTATAGAGTCTCTGATAAAACAGAGACAGCATGACTTGCACTTGAGATCCGCATTTTGCAACCCTGATATGATACGGGCAGCTACTCACAATGGCCAAGACTCTGTGTGTTCAGCTATCAGTTGCAAGGATGTTTACAGGACCAAATGTGGACAAACAGACGTCAGATTTTAACACTAACATTTTGTTTTCTCTGCATACTGCCTCCCTGCCCCGCAATGTGTTTAGAGAAAGTTATAGAAAAGGATCCATTTTTAATTGTTCTACAAAGTACAGAAGCACTAGGTCAATAAACAGTAGACACTGTAGCTTACCATTTGACTTCAAAACTTTATGGACTCTAGATGAGGGTTCTGAAAAAGACAACGACATGTTAAGCACTCCAGCATCCCAAAGAAAGTTATGGGCATCTTGGCCAACTTTTTATAACACAGATACCAAAATTTAAGCTCCTGAGCCCATACAAGGAAGTCAGATTTTCATTTCTTAATCACCCAATTTTCTCATTAAAAAGTATTTGTTGAAGTGTTAAACCTACAGCTGTTCCCAAAAACCATACATGTTTCTTAATGCAATAGCAGCTGCCCTCCCTACAACAAGCTGCATGTAAATTTTCATCACATGTTAAGATTTCTGCTTTCAAAAGACTTCGTCATCTCTGCTATTGCTCTAAGCTGATGGAGGTTTCCTATTAGAAATATGTATGAGGTACCAACAGCTTAGCATGGCCTTAAAAGTATAAGTAGCTGAATGTTACATAGGAGGCCATTTGATCAGTATTTTGTATTACAGCTTTTACAGGCGATCCTTCGGCTCAGAAACAAAGGAAGATGCCTGAAAAGTAATTAAAACTTGTCTGTTTTTCAGACACAAATGCCACTGCATGATAAATCACAACATTGATACTCTCATGAACCTTAAGTGATTTCCAATACACAATGTAATACACTCGCAATTGGAAAGGTCTTTAAGTAGCTGATGAGGGGAACACAGTGACTGCAGTATGAAGTCATCCAAATACACAGATATTTGTAGTGGCTTCGAGAGGAAACTAACAGTAATTATGGATATATGCTTTAGCTAGGAGAAAAAAACCAAACTCCAAAGTCAGCATAACCACCTCTCAAATCTCTATTATCCATAAGACAGACATAACACTAAGTAAAGATAGTAATCATGCTTTGAAATAACAAGCCTACAATCAGGATGGAACCATTTCTGAGACAGTAATTACTTGGGGTGCGGGGGAGAAATGTCAGCTTTAACTAATGTGACTGGCTTTTCCTGCATACACATTCATTTATTCATTAGAAAGTACTGACTGTTCTTTACACATCCGTCATTAGGAATGTATATCCATGAAACTAAATGCAAACAGTGGATTAAAAAAATAAATCACACAAACAACAAATGGTTAATAAGATACTCTACCTCTGCCTGAGAGTTACTATGCTGTGTTAAATCTGCGCATAGTACAGGCTAAAGACCAATTCCAAGTGCCCAGCCTCATCCAACCCTAAACAACCCTGTTTGTTTTCTCTCTTGTCATCCTGGTGGTAAAAGAGTTTATTCACCTGATTTCCTTCTCACTCTGTGAGAAGCACTGCCTTCTTTCGGCTGGTATGATGATTTCATCTCTCCCTCGGGGCTGTAGTGGAAGCCTGGGTGATCTGTGGAACAAGCAGAGGCACAAGGAATAAGCGAGGGACAAGGCTGTCATTTCACTCGCCTCTGCAGCTCTCTTTGGAGGCAGTGCCATCATCCCTTTATGACTGACAAAGTGGCACTTCATCAGAGCCTGAAGCAACACAAGCAAGGTGGTGTGCTGCTGCAGGGCAGCTGTTAACCATCCAGCCATGGAAATGCTTTGCCCATTTAGCTGTGCCTTGCTCCAGATGGCTAATCCAGCAACACTTATGCACCATCATCCTGTTCAATTCTTTGCCAGTTTCTCAGTCAGAGCTTTCCTGACTAATACAACTACATAAGTGAACAACAAGCCCGCTTTACCGCAAGACCTCGTCAGCATTTGTATTATAGGACTGTTGTGCTCATTTCCTTACGCTGCTAGGGATCACTGGCAACATGAAGACCTAATGCAGTTTGCACTAGCAAAAGCAGCAAGCAGCAGATACAGGCAGCAGCAGGGACAGCGCAGATGGGACAGCACTCAGAGGGCACCACATGCGTTCTCTAGCCCTGGTTCCTGGGGCACACACAGGTAAACTCCTCAGACGCAAGCACGAGCTTGCTGGGTCCCAGTATGAGAGTCCTTTGGGCTGCTCAGTGGGCACAGTTGCTTTCTGCCGTAGCCAGGAGAGCAGTTGCTGTGCTAATGGTGCTGCAGGGTGACAGAAGACACCCAGAGCAGCCAGATGTGCTGCCACCGCAGAGGCTCTGGGCTCCCTTGTCTCCCTTCCAGAGAGGCCACGCACAGTGCAGTGAGCAGCTGGCAGCTTCCCTCTCTGTCCTCCAGCTGCACGTTTTCCAGCACAAATAAGCCATGACACTGCTACATACTTCAAACTGCGTTTGCTTATTGCTAGCCCTTCAGTGGGTCCTAGCCAGAAGGAGCTTATGCTACAACACAGAACAGATCATACATTTAGTCAGCATGGAATAAGCAAAAGCAAGTGGGGAGAGTCTACAGAAGGCCTAATCCACCTCTTCCTTGCTCATCATGCAACATTATTTGTTGGTTGCAGATCAGTCAGTCCAATGCCTACAGAGCTTCAAAGGATCTGCAGCTGGTTTTGGTTTTTTCCAGCAAAGTAATAATTCAAGGAACATAAGCTTGGCCTTCTTCCATCTCAGATGAAACCAATAGTTAAAGCCAAACTTTTGAAGATGTTTTTATGAATTTTTAAAAATGAAAGTGAAAAAGAATAAACTTACGTATGGCATCCATTTCTAGAATTGCCTGTTTGGCCTGAAAGAGAAAAAATAACAAATGAAAAAGTTAAACTATAAGTAGAAGGACAAATTACATTACATGTTACAGATAGTAGTGAGTTTAAATATAAGAAGAAGCAAGTTTAATTTTTGAACTAATAAATATGGTTAGCAGCGTTATTTTCTGTCTTTCTCTGTGTGCTGGACACATTGCATATGTGAAAAAGAATTTTGCTGGCAGGAGCTCTGTGTACCTGCGGCACCACAGATGTGAGGTATTTCTGGAGGATGTGGTGATGGCACATCTGACCGCAAAAAATACTCTGGCTTCAAAGACAGGGGCTGTTCTACACTGAGATCATGCTGGCCATGTTGTGTCTCCTCCATGGGGACACAAACCTCCAGAGATCTCTCTACAAGTCCCTGAATTCAAAGCCATCAATACGCCACTCCACATTGCTGGGATTGGCACAAAACTGGCCCTAGTATTTGGGAATCACAAGTTTTTTGTGATTCACAGAACATTTCCTCCCTAAAAATCAAATAGTTTAACTCCTTAATTATTTTTCAATTCTGAAGTTGATGGTGCACTGTCACCCTTGCTTTCTTTGAGAGTTTCCTTGAGAAACAGCTATTTTAAAAATAGCTGTTTAGCTATTTTAAACTAAATAAATCATCGTTTAGTTTAAGAAAGATTGAACCAGGATAAAAAGCATCTCATGTTTGCTTAAAATTTGTCACATTTTTTTAAATAGGAAAAATAATCTGGATGTTTATTAAGCATATCAGCTAATAAGCAATAAACTAAACTAAAATAAAATAGCCTACATAACCTGCTTGCCCTTCTACAAATGCAGTTCAGTAATTTTCCACCAGGCGTCACATGTGGACTACCATTAAATCCTCCAAAATCTGGGCCGAGAAAAGTCCCATAACTAGAAACTATTGGTTTGTCAAAATAAATTAAATAAAGAAAGTACAAACAACCTCAGATATTTACTTGGTTAGAATTTTCCTTTCTCAAGTGAAACCATTTCTATGAGCAGAAAATGGCATTACATTTTTGGCTACACATTTTTTCCACAGATTAAAAAAAAATCCAATAAGAAATAAGAAAAAAATCTTGATACAAAAGCTGAGATCATGCTGTAGAATTTCTTTTTACAACCTAATAAACTGCAACGAGTATTTACATTGTAAGCGTGGATACTAGCATAAACTTTATACCTTTGATAAACTCTGTCAACAAAAAGAGGAGAATTAGTAGTAGCAACTGCTAGGGCTTACTTTTTCTCCCATAGTTCTTTTTTTGTTGAAAATGAGGGTAGCCCTGTGTACATCAGTCAGAGGTAACATTTTTTAGCCATTACAGCATAAAAATCATGGAAACTGATTAGTGAAACTAATACTGAAAAAAAAATAATCAGTAAAACTCAGTGGGAAATAAAAAATCAGAAAAAATATCCACATGAGCGAGTGGTTGCTGTGTTACAGCAAGAGTTAGCCCCCTGCTAAGGATGCAGAGTTCAGAATGGGTGTGTGTATTTGTAAAGTGAAGTATTTGCTACTAATGGCTTCACTGCTGTGATACCTGACCAAGACACATTAAAACTAGCTTGGTAATGTCTACACATGCTGCAATTAGTGCTCCTCAGTGTTGTACAGACAGGCAGTATCTAGCCAAGGTATGCTCTCACAGTGGAGCTTACTGACATTGCACATCTGTTACTCATGTCTTAGTGAGCAAATCCTAATGTGGCTGGCAATACTGCTAACCCAGTTAAATTCTTCTACTCCTGTACCAAGCTCAGTAGCTGCTTTTAGTGGAACTTTCCCATTAATTTTGAGGAACTTTTAGAGACATAAGAATAAAAAATGTGAATCTATCTCCTGGAGTTGAAACTTTCTGTAAATTGCCATGCATTTGGCAGCTAACAAGATTGCTTTAAGTTAAATGCACATACAAGGAGGTGGTGGGTTTTTGGTTTGATTTTTTTTATTTTTACCTTGGCAGGAATTTTAGCAGGATGATTTTCTAGAATTAACCTCTTCAGGTGAAGAATCCAAAGGCGCTTTTCTTGCTGTGACTTTGCCTGGTAAAAAATTGTAGCACCATGAGAAAATGTATTACTTCACTATGCAGGCTCAGGAACAGCATATGGCCATTGGTCAGGTTACCCAGTAGGCAGGGAGGCTTCTGTCATACCTGGACAGTATGTTGCATCTTGGGATTTTTGTAGTGGAAGACGCTAAAGCTGAGTGGTTCCTTTGGTATTACTTCAACAAGCATGAGATTCCCACACTATAACAAAGAGAAGCAATGATGTGAGTCACAGAGGAGTTTCGGGGAGACCCAAAATCAGCACATGACCTCCTGCCCTCCAACATACCAGTATGTGAGCTTTGTATACAAACATCTCATCTCTCTTTTTTGTAATTAGCAGCAGCTTGTCGAAGAGGAACAATGTGCGCTCATTTTTGGCTCGCTGAATGCGGAATGTTCCTTCTAACACCAGCTCCCCATAACTCGTGAGGTCCGGCCCTTTCCAGTTAGTGAGCAAACTCTGTATCTCCTGCAGCAGATCAAAGAAAAACAACCAACATTCATTTCATAGATCTTCCTTAAATAAAGACTCCAACAAAAACTGCTGAGGCCATTCCACACACATGAAGTTCAGCATCCAACAGTCTAAAGTCACCCTACACCGGTACTGAGGTTGCTAGGTTACAGGCAACATTGCAGCCAGATGCTTGGAGGCCTATTGCTAAGCCTAGACTAAAACATGCCCTCCTCAGTACTGGTTACCTTTGCATGGAGCCAGAAAAAAGCCCTGATATTCCCAGGGCAGCCTGTGCTCAAAGAGCACAACCCCATCTCCCAGGGCTCACAGAGATGGAGAACAGTCTGTAATTCAGTCATCAGTCTTTCTTGGGCCTGCTCCCCTCTCCCCTCTCCATCCCTAACCAATTCTCTTAACATTTCTCTCTCGCCCTGTGTATCCTCGTGAAGTTGTGTGGTTCCCCACTGGATGAATTCTAACACCTCCTCTATGTTCTGTAGGCCCATCACAGAAGACACCTCTGTGAGGTGTCCAGATTGAAGAGATGTTTCTCAGAAGACTGAAGGACCAGAAGTGATTTGGGTCAACTGATCATCTGAAAATGCCAAGATTTATTTGTACTTTCAATAATTTGTATACACAACATAAATATTTCTCATCTTATTTATTACTTAAGAAAAAAAAAAAAAGGCTGAAGAAACATCTAAGAACATCTGCACAAGTCTGTGTTGCTTAGCTATGGATATTCTTATTTCCTTCAGCTGCTTGTTTTTCCTGTCAGTGGCAATGACACAGCATTAAAGAACAGTACAGCAAATAGTTAAGAGCAGACTAAACCTTAAGTAGGGAAAACTTTAAAAATGCCCATTGAACTTTAAACCTGGCAGCATTAGCAAAGCAGGGACAGATTTCCTCATCCTAGGCTGGTCTCTCTAGGACACTACACTTGAACACAGCATTCCCCTAGAAGACATCTCAGTACATTTCACACACAAATGTAGCCTAGAGCATTCACAGAAGAAAACCCAAAAGCAGCACACTTTGGACTATACACAAGACTGTGACAAAAAAAAAAAAAAACACACAAAAAAAAATCATAAATTAAAATGAAAAAAAAAAAAAAAACACAAAAAAAAAACCATCATAAATTAAAAATTTTCATTTTTATCAGGTCTCTCTAGGAACTTGTAAATGAGTTCGGGTACAGCCCAGGGATCGTGTCCACCATCATTGAGGGAGACTGCACAGGAACTGTTGTCACAGTGCTTGCAGCATTACAGACCAAATAGCAGTGTGAAAGCCCACAGAAGACCTATCCTTATGGCTGCAGAAACAGATTTTACTTTTTAAAAGGGTAAATATAAACATAAACATTTTCCACAACCCCATACATCTGCCATTTGAGCTCAATAAATTAATTTAAAAAATTAAAAATCCACTTTTCCAAAAGCATTTAACTCTCTTTACTGCCAAATATTACTGGTTATCATTACTCAGATTTATAGCAGACTGTTGCTAAGCCATTAGCTTGCATTTCCAGCAATGTATGGCAAAGGTTACACTGCTGCAGGCAAGACATTATCAAATGTAACTCTATTCTCCCTACACAAACAACAAAAAACCCCAACAAAAATGAGAGCCAATAAGTACTATTTATGTTAAAAAGAAAAAAAAGGGATGAAGAATGACATGACATAGATTTCTGGAATGGTATAAACCTATTATTCCCTTTTATAAACTAAAAAATCCCTCCAGTTTTCTTAAAGCAATATAAATACTGCTGATGAAAATGTGATGTAAAATCGTTGATGCTCTGGGAAGTTTGGAACAGAATGACTGTTGTGAAAAATGTCTACAAAATTGCTTGCTCCTGAAGCCAAAAGTTACTCAGAGTGTAGCTGTTGTTTTCTCCCCAAAAATCCTTCATTCAAAGTGAAGTTAACCTTTTTCTAACTATCATATTTCTAGGTTTATACTTTTCATAAAGCAACTGATAATGAGTCTTTAAAAGCCCAAGAGGAAAGTGCTTAAACAAGAAGCAGCACAAGAAATGCCTCAAAACAAAATTAATCAGCACAAAGGGGAGAAATCGGAAACCACAGGATTTCTGAACAAAGCCATGCCCTAGGGTTGCACAGCAGTGCTGTACAATTGAGGGAAAGGAAGAAGGAAAAGTTATCTTAACTTCCATATTACTGCGAAATAAATGCTTTACAGGATGCTGCTTGTAGGGCAGAGACATCTGAGATTTTCCTGCAGCAGCTATGATCATGGTCTCTCTAATCAAACAGCCAAGGCATGCTTAACAGGATTCTACACTATGACTGACAAAGATTCAAAGAAAAGACAAACTAAAAAAGTTAATAGCATATATATTGACAAAAACAGCTCACAAACACCCATAAAATCTCTTTGGGAACTCACTTGGAGCCTGATGGCATGTTCATGTTTCCTCTTCATGTCATTTATATGCCATGCCACTCTCTGCATCGTATCTATGGCATCCAGCACCACATCATAGCCCTCAGTGTCCTTGTCAAGGTGATTTTCTATTTCCTAACATAGGGGGGGAAAAAAAGTCCTGTTATTTCTAAATTAATTTTCACAGTCGGATGCAATACTATATTTTTATCTATTTTGTCATTGCATCGTGATCACTCAAATGCAACGTTCTGCCTTTGTTACTATTGCATGTTGTTATCAATTTGATTAACACAAGGTGACTAACAAAGCCAAGCCTTTACGGCCAGTTTAGCAGCAACTATACTTGCAGCAGCTGATGTGAGCAGGGAGGCACAGAGAGCACAGCACGCTGACAACAGACCTTTTCAGACAGGGCTTAATGGCTTTCTTAAAACGCAGAAAGTATCTACACGCTTACAAAACCCTGATGGAATTACACTAGGCATTACTTTACAGCTGGAGAGCAGAAAAGCACCAGACATTTTAAATAAGGATCAGTATCTTTACACTTCACTAGAACATGACTC